ACTCATGGCAGGCCTGTGACAGGCTGTGGGACCACAGACCTGCCTGTGATTGTCTGTGTGGGGCTGGGGGCCACTTGTGATGAGGCGTGAGACCAAAACTGTGGGCTGTGATGGTGGTGGACTGTGGGTCTGGGTCCCACTCATGCCAGGCTAAAACCTTCAGGCTGTGCAGTGGGGGCCCACTGGTGCTGGGCTATGGATTGGGGACCTGCTTGTGACAGTCTATGGGACCACAGACCTGGCTGTGGAGCTGGGGCCCACTCGGGATGGGACGCTCTACCCCATGTGCTCTGGGAAGGTGAGTAAGGGCAGAGATGGTGGATGAGCCTGCACCCCACAGCAAGGGCACCCTGGACCAGCCTCAGGGCTGCCAGGGGAGCCTGGGGCCCGGCTTTGTGGGGTGCGTTACGCAGCCCTGCAGAGGAGCATCTGGGGAGCCTTGGTGCTTCATATCTGCAGCCTCTGTGAGCATGAGGCTGGAGGCAGGTGAGAGGAGAACTTATAATGTGAGCTTGGGGTTGCTTTGCTTTTCTGGCTGGGACTGCAAGCAAGTGCTCCGAGCACACAGCACTGCTAATCGAGCTCTCTCTCCCTCCAGGGCCAGATGCTGCCAGGTTTGATTTGCAGGGCTGCACAGGTGGAAGTGACTGCCTGAGCTGAGGTGCTGTGCTGGGGTGAGTCTGGCTGACTGTGGTATCCAGCGCATTTCCTGGGGCTGGGGCTCCTATCTAGTCCTGGGATGCTTCTGCCCGAGGAGAAGAACCCTACCCTGCACTAGGGCTGTGTCCCTGCTGAATGCCCGCACAGCTCTGTAGCCCAGCACCCGTATGCCTTTCTGTTCCTCTGTCTCAGCTGCAAGATGCTTTGGGCAGCAGTGCTTGTGTGGCAACCCTTTGTGGGGTCACTATGTTGCTTCTGTGACTTTATAAGGGCTTTTTGCTGTTCTCCAGTATTTGAGTTGGTTTAAATGTGCTGAACAGTACACCAGGCTCTCACCTGGGGCCTTAGGTGTCCTGCTTTTCCAAGATTGAATATGGTCTGTCCTGCTCCTCAGGCAACTTCTTATTTTGGAGGAAAATGATAAATGCAGAGGGCTTCTGACTTGTCTAAGTTTGAAGATCTGGCAAATACTCCTAGAAACAAATGTTGTGGTTTTGGGATCGTTCCCAACTTTAGTTTCTGATTCTACTCTTGATCGCCCTGAGGATGTAAGGAGTCAGGTTTTTCCAGTTTTTCAGAAGTAGCGTCCAGCTCAGTGTGCGGCCAGTGAACTTCAGATAAACTGGGATTAAGGGTTCCTTTTCCTTCCCCATCCTCTCCTGAGAGCATTGGAAATGCATTAATCTGATGCTAATTGTTACTCTGATAGCAGTAATTAGAGTCTGTAGTCTGAGATCAAGGCTGTGCTATATGGAGTCTTGTAACTGCTGCCTGGAGGAGCTCTCTGCTAAATACCCTGAGCTGGGATGCTTTGAGGAAGGATGCTCCTAAACACTACCAGCTTGTAGAGGGAGGTGAGAGTGCTCCCACTGAACTGGACTAACTGTGCCCAAAACACCGTGATTTATTTCAGAATTACGTACCTGATCTGCAGGTGAGATGTTCCTCCCTCACCGTCCCACTGCCCAGCCTCTCTGGGGCACGGTTGCTCAGAGGAGGCACTGCCATGCCTGGCTTTGCAGCTTGGGCATCTGCTTCCCAGATGCTTTCGGTCTCATGTGGGTCCCGCTGGCACGGCAAGGCCACGCTCATTTAGAACTGTTATTTATTAAAAGAAGTGCTGGGTGATGACACCGTCTCTGTCCCTTCAGCTCCTGGTGACATCTGTGGCGCAGCTGGTCTTCAGAGGTCACTCATTTCCCCCTGCTTAATGATCTGCTGTAGCAGGCAAGCTTTCATTGCTTGCTCAAGTGTCAATGGGACATGAATATTAATGAAACCTCGGTGGTCCTGTGGTGCTGACTGTCACGGCTGTGGAGGGCTCATTTGGAGCTGCCGGGCAGTGCGGGAAACTCCGTGATGGAGTGAGTGATAATAAAGTGTTGGTGAACTCTGCTCCGAGGTGCTGCCCGGGACTTTGAACTTGCAGGCTCCTGGCGCAGTGCCGTGAGGCTGGCTCGACGTTTTTGGAAGCAGGCTTTTGCGCAGCAGTGTGAGCATTAGCAGGGCAGGGACCTGTGGGAATGCTTTGGATGCTCATGGGACGGGAGAGTTTGTTGGCTGTAACTTCAGGTGGCAAATGGTCTGGTTAATGGGACCTAACATCCTCCGAGGCCCTGAGCTGGGATCAGGGCAAAGACAGATGCAATACAACATCTATTAAAATGGACTTTTTGGGCTGCTGGTGTCAGCTGGGAATCACCGTAAGGAGTGGGATGGCGGCTGTTATATATGTATGAGGGAACAGTGTAACTTTGAGTCTGTGGGAAGTGGGCTTTTTGCTCCTTTAATCCAGGAAGATCCCCTCCAGCTTCTACTACCCTGTGTGGAAAAGTCATGGTAACAACTGAGGTATTGTGAATTAAGTAGCTGTCTTTGGGAAAAACGGATCAGATTTGCATGTTGATCTGGAATATATTACACAGTGCACTGTGCCTTTAAACAGGGTATGTTTAGTTATCTGTGCTTGAATGGCAGCAAAATTAGTCCCAAAATATTAACTTGGGGAGAGAACCCCAGATTTCTGCGGGATCAGGGCCTTAGGATCTTGCAGGTGTCTGGTTGTAGTAACGGACATCCTCCCTCAAAACCTTCATACGCCAGTGCCTGTAGGAATCGCCCCTTGCTGACCAGGTTTTTGCACTGTGCTGTGTTGCTGTGCAGCCTCTTGCTCTGAACTCCGCTGATCAAAAGGAGTGTTGCCTTTCCTGCAGATCCTGCCAGAAGTGCTCATTCAGGTTTAAAAGAAGGTGGTCGTTCGCCTGCGTTGTCTCTGAGCTATGGCCATTGCAGGCTGTCGTGGCTAGCGGTGTAGAAAGCCTTCAGAGCGCGCAGTCTGCCTGCGTTCTGTGGAGTTGCTCACCTCCTTCATCTAACACCGAAGGATGAAATGCAAAGGTAGGAGCTGATGGCTGGGTTAATTATCACAGTGTCTGGGAACTCCATTCAGACTGTCTTTTACAGTAAGCAAGGTATGAACAGATCAGAAAGCTGATCCTTCCCTCCAGCTCCCCAAAAATGAGCGGAAGAGCTTGGCTGGTGCAGGAGCATCGTGTGCCTGGAGTGCTGGCAGTCAGTTCTGTGACCTGGTGAGCATGTCCTGGGAGGGTTGTGGTAGAAGTAGGAGGAAAAGAGTCATTCGTCGTGGTAGGAAGACTGACGGGCTGCCTTTAGGAAGGATGTGGGATGATTTCATACCTCCTCATCTTTGCTCAGACACACTGGCGACCCTTAGTCCCCTAATGATGGTAGGAAAGACTGACCTACAAAATCCTCTCTAAGCCTGTGCCCATGCACCGGTGTTGCTGAAGTCTAATCCACGTGAGTAAGCAGAGAGGGAAGCTGTTATACCTGCAAGTGCTGAGGGACCTATGCCACTGCTTTTGGAGATGTAATGTTCTGAGTACCACCTCCAGCATGTGGATTATATCCATGGAGGGGAAAAACTAGTTAGAAGCCTTTGCAGTGTAGGGTAAAAGTGTCACCTTTCTTGACGTGTTTGTCTTGAGCGGAGATTGTATCTGGTGGTAGGATGAAGAGAAGTTGCATGCTGTCTGGTGTTAATTACAAAGGGAAAACCGCATGAAAATCAAATGAAATTGAATCCCACTGCATTTGATATTCCCAGAGTTGAAGGCCTTGGTGCATCTCATTAGTTTAAAAGCCCTGATGGAGAGAGCTCAGCTTCAAACGGGCAATTTATATGACATTGAGACCTGGGAGAGGATTAGCCGCCTGCCTTGAACTTGTCCAAAGGAGTTGAACATGTAAATGTTCCCCTAGAGCAGCTCTCTGGGAGAAGGCATGCCTGTTAATTAAGGCCCCCGGGGCTGCATGGTTGCAGCGAGGGAGGGATAAGGTCTGTGTGTGTGTGGAAAGTTCTGCTGCTGATTTCTCTCTGGGGTGGAAATGCTGCATGGGCTATACAGACAGGCCCAAAGCTCTGGGCGTGTGGGCTCTGCTCAGATGCTGGTGGAAGAGATGCTTTGTTATACTTCTCAGTGGGCTTTGCAGG